AGCAGAGGAGAGTAGAGGATGGGATAGTGTTATGGACAATGACAGCCAGCAGGCTTGTGGCCGGGCTCAGCCCCAGGCTCTGGACTCTTCACCTGGTGAGGCAGAAGAGATGCCAGACCGGAAAACACCACACATCTCAAGGTGGAGGGGAAACAGGGAGCTAACAAAGATGTAAAACAGGAACAAAGTCACATGGATACTCCAGTGTGTACATGCTGCTGTTGGTGTGTGTGTGTGTGTGTGCATGGGAGGATATATTTTACCTTTTCTCCAGACACCACACACAGGGACTCCGTATCAATGCACTTGGAGTTCCTCAAGCATCTCTCCAGCTGTCTGTTTAGCTTCACTGACAACTCAGACTGTCTGGAGAGAGAGAGGAAACCCCACAGATGATTTACACTCTCTGCACAAACAAACCACATTGCAGACACAGTCCTGGTCTAATGTGTCCCTTACCTCCATCAAAAAGTCTCATTTTAATGATGGGACGAGAAACATTGCCCGTGAACATGTGTATGTATGTATAATAAAGTACATACAAACATAATGTCTTGAGTTCCTTTCTCACCTGCCAGGTTCAAATGCTGGTGAGGCCATAGGCGACAGCTCGATGTTGAAGAACATGATTCCCTCGTTTGGTCGACTCTCTTTAGGAGCCACCAGTTCACACGACACCTGGGCCATGACCCTGTAAAATGTAGCACATTGATTTTCTATTATGACATTAAACACAAAATGTTCCATGTGAATTTTGGTGCATTTTATTTCAGGGTTTGAGAAGACCCCACAGACCTTCATACAATACAACTTTATTTTTACATGTTATAAGATCAAATGTATTTGTCATGCTAAATTACATATTTGTATTTTTATTTATTACAGAAAATACAGCATATGAAGCTGTCAAACTGGACAGAAAAATGTTAGAGCTAACTTTAAAGTTAGGGGGGGTGATTTATGAGGAAGGGTAACCCTTAATGGACTATCAGGGAGAAAAAAGCAAACTCTTTACACATATGTGGCCATAGATTCACCTGGTTTTCCCCAAATCCACAAAGCAGCATCCATAGTCAGTTCCGAATGTGATCTTCATCTTCCTGTAGTCATAGGTCTGCCGTCCATCCAGACGCTGCAGGGACAGGACAAGTTTGAAGTTTATTTATTTAAAAAGGGACAATGCACATTATTTAACACTGTGTAAATGTGGCAGATTTAGCCATACAGGCTGATTTACATCCGCAGCCCCTGGCAGGTTGATGGCTTCATTATTCTACATCAGTTATAGTAAGTTAGTCGTAACTGTGCAAATACTGACATTATTGTGGAAAACTGGGTCACTACATACAGTGGACACAATGAACAGAAACCAGCTCACCTTTTTCTCTTCGATGGCTTTGAGCAAGAAATCCCGCTCACAGTTAGAGAGCGGTGTGTCCTTCATTCTGCTGGCTTTTGCTGTCAATAATCAATCATTTAATTCACAACTGCGCTGCCACTGCTCCGACAGGCATGTGGTCGCCGTCAATATTTTCTGAACTCTAACCCGGAAGTGCATGCGACGTGCCATAGTAAAAGTGGGGGAAATATGTTTTTATTTTTTTGACTAGTTTTGACTGATCTCGAAATGGCTGTTATGTTAACCTACTTCTGTTTAATTAACATTGTCCAGATGTTTGCTGGCACTGTGCCCGTTGAGCATCCTTAGCACAATTTACTGAAGATAAGCTTTTACTTTGTAATCCTACTGCAGAGCGTTCTGATGCCTTAAAGCGCTCCTCCTAAGCTCGTAATTTGGGGCTTTCAAAGTTGGAAATATTGACAGCGAGTACCCGTAGCATTTTGTGGGATTTTTTTAAATGAATGCTTATTACGAATTAATGTGGTTTTGTTGGCGCACTCCCAGAATGGATCCTGTTGCTAAGTTGGTTTTGGGTAGCTGTATTTTTGGAAGCATATCGGCAAACTGCCATTTTGTCCTGGGCATCGTGCATATTTATTAAAAACAACATTTCACAACAATGATTACAGTTTAAATGGTGAGATGAATTGTTCTAGTCGTTCCAGTAATACAGATTATTTATTCAAACCTCATGTAAAAGAATAGCAAGCTCCGGCAGCGCTTTCCTCTCCTATTATTTATTACGACTGGCGGTGGTACTTGAACGCACCACTCACGCTCTTCATATGCGCGAGGTGCGCATGCTCAGTTGCAGGGACACGCTCGCTCTCACCAACGGTGCACCGTTATCGGGCCGAGCTGTCGTCCCGTCCTCTTCTCTTCTCTCTTCTTCTCTTCTCCAGCCGTACACGGCGGGCCTCGGTGAATCTCTCAGAGGGCCGTACGCTCAACATACTCCCTCTGATTTTCGAAGCGGAGAAGCAGCTGTTGTCGAGGGGTTTTCTCTGCAGTTAGAGGGCGAAAGGTTTGTTTGTGCGCTCATTCATTCTCTCCATCTCTCCCTGTGCGACATCACTGCTGAAGGCGAGCTAACCGTTGCTATCCACTCATTTCTACACTCAAACAAGACATTTTCGGCCACCGTTAACTTTAAGAGTATGATGTTCTCTTTGTGTTCTTAACGCCAGTGCTTGTTTAATTAATGGGCTCGTTGAATAAGCTCATTAGTTTACAGCTAAGCTTGTGTTATGCTAACGGTTGCCGTTTGTGATTGGCGCGCCGTGCAGCTAACGTCAGCTAGCGGAGCGGAGCGGAGCAGGTGCTGCAGCCGCCGGAGCCTTTCATCTACAGGAGTCTCTGCAGTGCTCAGTGGCAGCCATGTTAGCTCCACAACCCTGTCCTATGACCTTTTCTTTGGACTTCCGAGGTCTCTTCAGTTAGTAGCTTCTTCTTCATGGTAATAGAAATAAAATAACAGCTCGCTGGCCGTGTTTAACGTCAACCAGAGGCTGGTAAGGGATGATACACCAGTACATTTGGACTATACCCCTGTAACATAGGAGGAGTGAAGCCTAATGGTAAATATAGTTACTGTGGTAGCTGACATCCAGACAGAATAGCCAGTGGATGTTGATTTGATGAGTTGGGGGATGGCCTGTTTACAGACACAGTTGGATAAAATATTCCAATCTGCTCATTTGCCTACACTTGGCTGGTAACGATGATCTTGACTTATTATATGTTGGGTTGAAAATGTCACCGACATTTGTAGAGATACTTTGCCTGGTTTAACTTTGTCCACAATTTGATTAATTCTCCAAAGGGAGACCTTAGCTATATTACTGTTTTCAACATGTCACTGCAATTCATTGGCTGCTTGTGTGAATGTCTGAACGCTGGGGGTGTACACACATTTCTGTCATTAAATTAATTAAATCCTGTCTGTGTTAAGTCAGACTGCAAGGCAAAGCTGTGATGTCTGTTTCATGAAGAAACAGCCTGAAGCCGATTTACAGAAAGGCCAAAATTGGAATAATTATGTCGTAGAGCAATATTGGCGTTTGCACCTATTTATCTAAAATTGATGCATTAACCTTCTCTGCCCGCCAATAGAGGGCCAACCATTGACTGAGTTCATTATCCCTGACACACACACACACACACACACACTTTTAAGACGTGTCATGTAGAAGGGGAAGGCTGCGGGGTTATTGTGCATTCACCCGGTAAAGTGTAGGCTTCAAAGAGTTAATTTTACTGTTGAGGTTGTCATGATGTGAACACTGCAAAAGCCATGCACACTTCTGTGAAGTCAAAGTAAAGGCTGGTGACTCTCTTAATGTTAAAGCAGCTGAAACTTCCATCAAGTAGCACATCTCTTCAGCAGTGGGTTCTTTTATGGACACAAACGAAAGTCACGGGTGAGAATGGAAAGGCCAGGCTGTCACGGGTTGAGAACCACCTTCGACTCATTCTTGATGAAGTCAAGAAGCCGGTTCACTGAGGGCTTTCACCGCTACAGTGCTATGAATCTCACCACTTCACATCTCGATCGGATTCTCTGCAACAAAAAGCAAGAGCTCAAAAGACATTTTCAGTAAATGTGCCTACTTCTGAGACACTGTTGTTTTCATCTGCATCAAGCTTCCACATGTTTTGTATATTCTCACATCAGAATCCATTTTTTTTCATCTCTTCCTGTATGGGATGTGGTCAAGATTTCTTACAAACCGTTTATTTAACTGTTCCTTTCTTTCAGACCAATGATGCGAATCAATGAGCAACATTGCAGCACATTTTTCCAGATGACATAGCTCGTAATACTACTCCCCCTTCATCATCTCTCCCCATTGCTTTATCAGAATCCTTTTGATCCTCCTGCACTGTGATGTTAGCAAATAGAACAACAGCAGTATGGGAATTAAAGTTAATTAGGAATTAATGAAAGCGTGCTGCTGTGCTGTCTGCAGTGATGCTTTTCAATTCCTGCTGCTCACAACAAGAGCGAGCAGGTGTGGCAGATCAATAGGAGGTCATTGGAGCTGTTGGGTGTAACAGATCTCTGAATTGTACCATTATTCTGCAGGTCATCTTTTAAGGTTTCAAATGCATATTAGGACACACACAAAGGTTCTGATGAGATGTATTTGCTGCTAGAAATGAGGACTAACAGGGATATTTGGGAAAGAGAACATAATGTAAACCCAGAGAGGTTAGCTGTACGTTACAGGTTCGAAAGCACAGATAAGTCTGGCATCTGCGTAGAAGGAGTCTGTCTTTATGATTTATCTGGTGGGGACACATTACAGCAGACAAAGGGCAGACGTTAAGGATTTTTTTAAGGAAATAGTGCGAAAAACGCGAGATAAGGATGTGATCTGAGGACACAGGCCCCATATCAAGGAGCACCATGTACTAATGTGACCTCAATCTCTTTTTTTTTTTTTTCTCCAACTCCCACCCTCCCATCCCTCCTTCCTTTTATGCACTTGTGTTTTCTATTTATATCATTGACGCCCCCGCACGCACACACACACACACACATCCCTTTCCTCTCCATAAATAACTGTCTTACTCTCACCTGCCTTCTCTTCCCAACCCCCTCCTTCATCCTCCCATACCACGCCCTCCTCTCTCTGCTGCTCACACCATGCTCGTCTCTGATGCCCCTTACCTCACCACGCCCCCCGCCCCTGTTTTTACCCTTTACAGATGAAGTTGGACAGAGGTTGGATGTGGCGCGTGCTGCTCCTGACCTCCCTGGCTGTGGCGGCTGTGGCGGCCCAGGACCAGCAGGTGGAGGCTGACGTTTCGGACATCGATGAAGATATGGGCCTGGATGACGAGGAATTAAATGTTCTGATGGCAGAAGAGGAGGAGGAAGAGGAGGAGGAGGCGACGGTGATGGATGAAGACCACTCTGATGAGACCGAGACAGAGACAGCGAGTGAGAAGGCTGGCGAGGCTGGAACGGATGCAAATGTCTCCTTCCAGGTCAGGAATGGGTCATAGGTCAAATAAAGGTCATATGTGAAGCTGTATCAAAGCTTCTAAAAATGACATTTAAGGAACATTTTCTTGACAGTTGCAATGCTCTAGATTAAGGGAAATTGAGGGCCTGTATATCAACTTCTAATTTATGTTCTTTGTTCTCCAGGTAACGTACAAGACTCCTGTCCCCACTGGAGATGTCTACTTTGCAGAGACGTTTGACGATGGATCATTGGACAGGTATAGCCTGAAAAATTTACCAAGTGCCGCTAAAAAATACAGTGTAAATGTTTGATGCATGCTGGGATACGTGAGCCTCCAGTGGTACTGAGTGTCCAGGATAAACTTACACATCAGTGGTTGTTGTCTGTCTGTGTTCACCTTTTCTTGCGTGGACTCACAAGAGTTTCGTGATGTTGATCTCCACAGATGGCAGCTGTCAAAGACGGTGAAGGGGGACACAGATGATGACATTGCCAAATATGACGGTTTGTTACTCTTTTCCCCTTTCTGCTAATCCACACATGTGCGTATGAGAACTCCTCCTCATGTGTACCTTACAGAGACTCACTTTTCTGTATGTGTGACAAGAGAGATATTTACAACCATGGGTTGTATTTTTGCCACCTCGTATTGGTTATAATAACACTTAACTTGGCAGTATAATTGCTAAGATGTGAGGTCACAATATGACCCATGTCAATGTTTACCATGACCCTGAAAATCAAACTCGGGTTGCTGAATGTCCGCCCCTCTCCTCTCCGGCTGTAGGGAAGTGGGCTGTGGAGCAGTTGAAGGAGAACAAAGTTCCAGGAGACCTGGGTCTGGTGCTCAAGTCCCGGGCCAAACACCACGCAGTCTCTGCAATGCTGGACAAACCCTTTGTCTTCCAGGATGAACCTCTGGTCTTACAGTGAGTTCACCATGTACCCTCATTCTTGTTGGTGCAAGTTTTTTTTCTCAATGTGCTACAGTAGTTAGTGGACTTGTTTAATTGTTTTGTTGTGTTCTGGTTGCAGGTATGAGGTGAATTTCCAGGACGGTATTGACTGTGGTGGAGCGTACATCAAACTGCTTTCAGACACTGGCAATCTCAATCTGGTTGGTACACGTGTTGTCATTCTACATTACTCCACTTATAATGTGTAAAGTTTTGATGTGCACTGTAAAATTGTGCTTGTGTGCGACAAAATCAGCACATATAGGCATCTTTTACTGGAGCAAGTACATGCATTATGGTCCACCTCTGTCCTGTGTATGTGGCAGAACCGGGTGCTGGGTAATGGTAGTCTGGATTTAAACTAGATAGATCTATTCCATTTACTCTTTAAATTAAACCCTTGTTTCTGCTGCACTGTAGGAGCAATTCCAAGACCGTACACCCTACACCATCATGTTTGGACCAGACAAGTGTGGCGAGGACTACAAGCTGCACTTCATCTTCCGCCACCAGAATCCTCTGAACAAAGACTTCGAGGAGAAGCATGCCAAGAGGGCCGATGTCGACCTCAAGAAGTTCTACACTGACAAGAAGACTCACCTCTACACTTTGGGTACAGAGACCATTTGGAAAGATAATGTGTATATATGTGTAAAATGTGTCTTTTACATGTAATGCTTGACACACACAGAAGCCAATTAACTGCAACTTCAGTTTTACATGTACCTCCAGACCTTTCTTTGCTTACACATTCATTAAGCATTTGTCCCTGTTGTCAGTGCTGAACCCAGACAACAGCTACGAGATGTTAATCGACCAGTCTAGCGTGAGCCGCGGCAGCCTGCTGCATGACGTTGTGCCTCCAATCAACCCCCCCAAAGAGATCGATGACCCAAATGACTCCAAGCCTGACGACTGGGACGAGAGGGCCAAGATTCCTGACCCTGAGGCTGTCAAGCCCGATGACTGGTGACTGCAACCCCCTCGCTAGTAGACAGTACAGATTTTGTTGCAGATCGGACATGTTAGGGCATCGTCATTTTAACAAACATGGACTTGTGTGTGTGTGTGTGTCTTAGGGATGAAGATGCCCCAGCAAAAATCGATGACCCTGACGCTTTGAAGCCAGAGGGCTGGCTGGATGATGAACCAGAGTTTGTCCCCGACCCTAATGCTGAGAAACCAGAAGACTGGTAAATAAACACATTCCCCAGGCCAACAAAGCCATAACCAGCATAATGTTCCAGTGTTGCCACTGTAAGCAAATGGTCCAGCCTGACAGCTCTCCACTGTACACAGGGACGAGGAGATGGATGGTGAGTGGGAAGCCCCGCAGATTCCTAACCCAGCCTGTGAGACCGCTCCTGGCTGTGGGGAGTGGAAGCGTCCCAAGATCAACAACCCTCAGTACAAGGGCAAGTGGAAAGCCCCTCTGGTGGACAATCCCAACTATCAGGTAACTAGAACTGATCCAGCTGAAGAAATCAGCTTCTTTTACGGTTTTATTTTACTGCATTGGTCAGAAATATCAAACATCCACGCTGATATCTGATCAGGCCAATACGCTTATTTATTTATTTGTAAAACGTGAATGATGATGTGCACACTACAGTACTCTGTTACATGCAACACCTCTGACTTGTCCTGGTGGAGATGCTGTGTGTTTGTGCACCAGCTGAAACCATCTCTCTTCCCTTCTAATTGTTTTCCTCCACACTTCATCTTCTCCCAAGGGAGTCTGGAAGCCGCGCAAGATCGATAACCCAGACTATTTTGAGGACCTGCAGCCCTTCAGGATGGCACCTTTCAAGGCTCTGGGCTTGGAGTTGTGGTCCATGACCTCGGATATCTACTTCGACAACTTCATTATCACCTCTCACAAAGAGGTGGCCGACCGCTGGGCCTCTGACAGCTGGGGGCTGAAGAAACTGGTGGCCAGCGCTAACGAGGTCAGTGTGACGGTTTGTAAGGGCAACAGGAACATAGAGTGGCATCTTAACAGTCACTTACATTGTCACTATGTGCATATAATTCACCACAGGGATGTCAGTTTCTGTGAGGGAATGGCTCACTATTTGTCCTTGCTCTCTGGTCCCTTGTCTTTCCTCACCAGCCGGGGATTTTCGCTCAGCTGATGTTGGCAGCAGAGGAACGACCGTGGCTCTGGGTGATCTACATACTGACAGTTGGCCTGCCTGTAGGACTGGCTGTGCTCTTCTGCTGGCCAAAGGTGCTGTGTGTCTATCATTTATGCTTTGTACGTTTCAGATACCCGGTTTTATGTACACCAGAAAACCCTTTAAACCTCACTGTGAGCCCATCTCCTGTTTGTGTCCTAGAAATCGGATGACGACTACGTGTACAAGAAGGTGGACCCTCCCCAGGCTGATATAGAGGAAGAGGAGGAGGAAGAAGAGGAGGCAGCAGCAGATGAGGAAGACAAAGCAGCTGAGGCTACAGATGGAGCAGCAGCTGCAGGTTAGAGGGTCAAACACAGGACATCACACTGTTCTGTTGCTGCTGTATTGATCAGTGTTTCACTGCTACATTGTTCTACAGTCGTATTTCTTTGTCCTCACTGTCACCCCCTTTACCCCACTCTCTCCAAAGCAACACAAGAAGCTGAGGAGGAGGAGGAGGAGGAAGAAGAGGAGGAGGAAGAAGAGGAAGAAGAGGAGGCTTGAGGGAGCCGGATGCAGGAGGTGACAATCTAGAGGGGATGAGGAAGAGAGACGAGGAGGTGAGGAAGGAGCGGAGGAGGAGGGGAGGAAGAGGAAAGCAAAGCTCCCGCACCGGAGAACATTAGAAAGATGAGGGTTGGTGTCAATTTGTTGTTGGGCTAGACCTCTGCGGTTTCCTGCGTGCACATTCATCCACTTCACATTGCTCTTTAAAAGGTTCCACATTGTTCAGTATTCATCTGGCTCAGGTGATAACCAACTGTTCAATTGTTTATTAGACAAAATGAAAATATTTCTTCATTCAATTGAATTTTTGACTCCGGGCAAAAAAAGATTTTTTTTCCCTCAGTAAGAAAACGTATTGCTAATGCAAAACGTCATCGATTTAAAAACGAGACGATACTAATAAGACTATTGATATGCTTATTGGAGTAAAGTAAAATGAAAATCCAAAAAAAAGTTCAGGGTTTAAGCTTCTTCAAAATGTGCATGTCCACCTATTTCATTAATTCATTATTTAAAACTCAAATCAATTTTAATAATGTGAAATATGTTTATCATATCACAACAATATGTTGACTTTCACAGCAATGAGAGCAGCTATTGCAAGTCAGTCCGTCTGTCAGTGGGTCTGTTTGTCCCAAAAGTGTGAATTGGCAGCCGTACTTGTTTCAACACACATGGTAGGGTAGCAGTTTCTCTCATGCTGTCGTCTTCGGTTCTGAGCTCAGGGCTAGAACCTCATGTTTTTGTATTTAAAAACAAAATGACAAAAGTCACAGCTGATCAGGAATCCTGTGCCTGCATTACGCTGTTGTGACACACTGTTGACCTTTAAACCAGACCAGGTCGCCTACACTGATCCGCTGTCTGCAGGTCTTTTAAAAGGTTGTTAATGTTACAATGAGGGGTGGATGAATCCATACCTGAAGTCTTGTTTTCAGTATTGATACTAGAGGCAATAGGATTGATACAAAAAAAAGATTCATGTTCAATCATGATTT